TTGTATAGCTCTTGACAATATCCTTTTTTCTCAACAGTAAGGTTTTGAGATTTGTGTGTGTCATGTATGTATATATAACATATACATATGTATATATATATATATCATAGCTATATAATATTCTATTGTATGAATCTGTTACAATTTATCCTTTCTCTTATTGAAAGGACATTAAGTTTCTCCCTCTTATTGCAAATGGTACTGCAGTGACCACCCTGTGTATCTTTCTGGTCTACTTTTCAAGGAACCATGTAGGCCAGCAATTCTCAAACTCTTCAGCCTTAGGACTTCTTTATACTCATAGAAAATATCGAGGACTCCAAACAGTTTCTGTTTATGCGAATTATAGCTATCAATAGTTACCATATTAGAAATTAAAACTGAGAAGTTAAATGTTTTTAATTTATTAAAATTAACAATAAACCCATTGCATTAACATCAATAATATTTTTTTTAAAACCCTATACTTTCCCAAATCCCCCCAAATTAGTAAGAAGAGTAGCACTGTTTTTAAGGTTTTATTTTTATTCTTTGCTAATTTCTATAATGTCTGCTTTAATAGAAGATGGCTTGATACTCATATCTGCGTATGCATTCTAAGTTTTACAATCTGTTGTTTTGGTTGAAGTATATGAATAAAACCCAGCGGGAAAAGATAGGAGTATTTTAATAGTCTTTTAAAGTAACTGTGGCTATTCTTCGCTACTGTAACAAAGCAAGTGTTAGTTTCTCAAGGCAGTAGTAGTGTAAAATCTGAAACTATAATGAGCAGAGCAATTGGCTTTTTCTGTGCTTTGAATGTATCTTTCACCCAGGTATGATTTTGTGGCATCTTGCACTGCTCATTTGTGGGTTCATATGTGAGTTCACCAGGTTAGAGTATAGGGCGGTCATTAGGCTCATGGGAGCAAATAGAAGTTTTCTGAAATTCCAATTTTCACTTGAAACTCAAATTTTATCTCTGGCAACAAATGCAATCAGTTATTTTCCTTGACATAAAAATGAAGGCTCACTTTATTAATTTTTGAGAGAATGTCTGCCAAATATCTCAGTCTGAATAGGAGTTTGTCCCCTGAGTTGTTTTAAGTAGAGGCGGTAGACGTGGAGAGGAGCAGTGGCTGGGCCCACCGCCTGAACAGCTAGCTGCCCAGTGCTTCCCTGGCCACCATGCACCTCCAGCGCAGCAGAAGCACTCCATCTCTTCTTCCTAGGCCCTGGCTCTCAGAATATTAAAAGAAAAGTGTTCAGGGGTCTAGATGTAATCAAACAAATCAGTTTACTATTTCATCACAGATAATCTTAAGAAACACCAGCATGGTTTTCCTGAGCGCACAGCAGTGAGCTGTGACCACGAGTATGGTTTGGGGCCCTGACCTTAATTTGTGGGGCGAGGCCGCTGCTGCTTTTGCAACATAATGTCAACAGGGTGAAAAAGACGAATCACCTTTTAGTTCACTGTGAAACAGTTTTGGCCTTGTTGACCTCCTGAAAGCACCTGTGAACTTCCAAGTGTGTGGACAACACTCAGAACTACTGGTCTGGGCCTAGAGTCGCTTTGGGTAGGGTGCAAGAGCACTTTGACTTGTTTGTGGCTGCCTTCTTTTTTTTTTTTTTTTTTACATAATGCATGTTTTTTAAAATTTACTTATTTAAATTAGTTTCAAGGATACAGTACATTGGTTAGACATGTATACAGTTTGTAAAACGATCCCCCCAATTGCTCCCTCTCTCCCCTGACCTTCCACCTAGCCAATGTATTCACGCTAACTGCATTCCCTATGCCGTGCTCCCCATCCCCATGACCATCCATCCATTAGCTACTAATTGGTACTTCTTAAATTCTTCACCCTATTCTCTCAGCCTCCATCTTTTTTTTTTTTTTTTTAAACTTGCTATTATGGAAATTTCAAAAGTATGCAAAAGTGGAGACTGGAATAGTGAAGCCCAGTCCCATCTCCCACATTGATAGTCACCCTCTTGCAGCCGGTCTGGTTTCATGCGTCTCCACCCAGTGCTCCTTCCTCCGTATTATTTTAGGCAAATCTCAGATATCCTATAATTTCACCCCACTTTGTGTTTCTGATACCCTCACTGTTCGAAGAGAGAGGCCTTGTTTATTCCTTCCCACTCCCCAGTGTGGAACCTGGAATGAATCCTCCTACCTTCCTAGTACCAGCACTGTGCTCTCTGTAGTTGCCTGCAGAGGGACACAGAGCCCTCCTGCCCTGGGGATGGCCACCATGAGCCATGGCCATGGACTGCTTCTCCTGGGGATTAACTTCAGCAGTTCCCGTGTGCCTAACCCTGGCAGCCAAGAGCCCTTTCCGACAGGTCACACCTTCTCACCGTCTCTAGGTAAATTACCTCAGGTAGAGTGGCTTGTATCCCCCAGCTGTTCACGTCTTCCATATTCCCACATTCTCTCCAGCACTTCACGTTCCATACTTTTCAGGTTTCAACAACTAAATGAGTGTCAGGCTATTTAACCGAGAATTGTATAATACTGATTTGCTGTGCTTAAACCTTGTTATTTATAAAATATTATTAATTTACCCTTTTCTTACATTGTTCTGTCAGTGTTAATTTGTGTGGTTATCCTGCTATAATTGGTGGAATTATTTATTATGTGAGTATTTTAAGCAACTTGTATTTAGTTTAAATTGTTAGCTAGAAAGATGCAAGATTTCTATATAAAAGAAATATTGGTAAGATATGCTTAATACAAATATTTCCTCAACTTTTAGATAGTTTTAAGTAATTTTAGAAGGCATAACCTATTCTGCTAAAATTACTGGTTTTTATGAGAACAACCCTTAGGAACTTGACTTACAAGGCTCACAGATTATTTCATTGAGAAGGTCCGCCTATGTAACGAGGACCCTTTCTGCTTTCACATATTTCTAGATTATCCTTCTTTCCTAGGGTCTTGGGTTGATCATGTCCCTGATGGTTCTTCCTCAGAGAGGAAAAGGCTCACTCTGCATCCTACAGAGTGATCACAACCAGCCACATCTCTGCTTCTTCATCTCTTTCTGCTAAAGCCAGTGAACACATTAACTTAGCAACATGATTCCATGGTTTAAAAAAGCATTTTTGTTTGTTTGTTTGTTTAGAGAGCAGATTCTAGATCAGGCTCTAACAATTTAGAGACCATGGAATATAATGGGAAGATCATAAGGTAGGGAGCCAGGAGACCTGGCTCTAGTCTGGGCCTTCCTCCTAACTTTTCGACCTGGGATAAGAGTTTTATGAGGATAAAGTAGATTAATAGTTAATAAATTATACTGTTTAAAAAGGACATCAAATATGGAACAAAACCTTCAATATGTTTACAATCTTTGATATTTAATTTAGTAATTCCATTTCTAGAAATTTGTCCAAAGGAAAATTAGGACAAATATGTTGAAAGGCTAGTGTACACAGATGTTCACTACTGTCTTTGCAGTGCAAAACTGGAAGCAATTTAAATAATCTGCCATCAGGGAGTGGTTAAATATAAATATCCACAGGATGATCTGTTGTGCAGCTATTTATAATCCTATTTCTGAAAGTAACTTCGAGATATAGAAAAATATTCATCATCAGTTAAATATAAAATGCATATGATAAGTCCATATATTGCTCATGATCCCAGTTTAATTTTTTTAAGTGTGTTTGTGTGTGTGTGTATGTGCACCCGTGTCTAGTTCTCGAGTCTGGGCTGTGTCTACACATACTGTTCAAACATGTCTGGGTACATCTGGAAAAATGATGGTGTCATCAAGACATACTTATCTTTGCAGGGGGCTCAGATGCTTCCTGGGGGCACACACAACCTGAAGGAAGGAAGAATTGGTACAATAAGCTCTGTGGGGGAAGGTCTACCCTGAATACCCTGTGATGGTGCCTGACTTGGCTCCCACCAGACTTGTGTTTGAGGTTCTGAGCACAAACAAGCACAGACCTTGGGAAAGCAGTGGAGCAGTGAGCACCTGGTTTGGGACCTCTGATGGCAGGAAACAAAACAAGGACATAGGTATACACCCCCTCACCTCAAGGGCTCGGGGCCAGAGAAGGAACAGTAGCATCCTACTGGAGCAGTCTCAGGGAGAGCATGGAACACCCTTGGGGACTCCCACACAGAATGGGTTACCTTTAGAAAAGTGGAGTTCTGGGTGATTTTACTTCTTCATATATTTCTTTATTTTTCAGAAATTGAACACATATTTTTATAACCAGAAAAAATATGTGGCCACTTCAAGTCACATAACCACTTAGAAGTTGAAATGAAGTAGTTGCTTTTTCATAGCACATCAGTAGCTGGGAGCAGTAGCCTGTTCTAAATACACATAAGGCAGGTGTGTTTTTCTGTTATAATAGTGTTGAGTTGCTAAGTGTTGAGTTGATCATTTAGGACAAGGAGCCCAAGTGGAAGTCATGGCCAAGCCTTCGTTCACTGCAACAGTTCAGGCAAAAGGCAAAAAGGATGCCTACTCCCTAGTGTTCTGTCCCCTCCATGGAACAGCACGACAGACAGGGGTTGGGGAGAATTGTCCCAGAACCCCCTCTTTATGGACTGGAGGAAGGGCAAGAGAAAGAGAAAGTGCTGAGACAGGAAAAGCGCTGAGCCAGAGAGAAAGTGCTTTGGGCAAGGGTCCCCAGTGATGAGAAAGCCTCTGAATTCCATTGAATACCTGGGCTAGGAATGCAAACTTGAGGAGCATAGCAGCCAGAGGCCTAAGATCTTGTCTGTGTCCCAGGTCCCTGGTGAGGCCTGCTGGCGAAGGCTTCTGATTGCCCCTTGTCTGCTCTGAGGATCGCAGGATTTGGACCTGGAGCCAAACTCCTCAGATATGTTTGTTTGAATATACCTTGAATTAAAACCAAAAGCAAAAACTTTAATAGCAGTACTAACATCGATTTTCATTTTACTTGTGGCACCATCTCTGGCTCCCATGCCTCTCTGGGACACTTTACAAATCATATGGATGGCCTGATTATTGTATTTTTCCTGCCAGCCACCCATGGGACACAGTCATCAAGGCTGCTATGAGGAAGTACCCGAACCCGATGAACCCCTGTGTCGTGGGAGTCGATGTGCTGGAGCGCAGTGTGGACGGCCGTGGCCGGCTTCACAGCCAGCGCCTCCTCAGTACCGAGTGGGGTCTGCCCCGCCTCGTGAGAGCGGTGAGCCCACAGCTGCTTGCCCCTGCTGGCACCCCCAGCACCCAGCTACATCAGTATGCTTCTTTTGATACCCACTTCATCTCAGCTACACCTGCTTTGCCCTGGCCAAACCCACATCACCCCTTCTGGGACCAGCATCATCTTCGCTATACCTGCATCATCAGGCTGTACTCTCTTCACTCCGGCTGGCTCCCACTCGCAGGAAATGACAACCTTCCCTAAGAGTGTCCACCTGGGATTTCTGGGAATCCCAAGAGATGGTCTGTTTCTCTGTAAACTTCATTTAACTACCCATCTCCATAGGGCCTGACACATCTCCTGACATGTGGCACTGTTCCCCCACTCTCAGCCCCTGCCACCACTGAATCCTCTCCTTCCTCACTCCACAGTCTTGTATCAATTTGCTCAGGCTGCCATGATAAAACACCACAGATAGGGGGCTTTCACCATAGGCCTTTGCTTCTTACCCATTCTGGAGGCTGCAAGTCTGAGAGCAAGGTGCCAGCGTGGTGGTTTTGTCTGCAGGCCGTGAGGTAAGGGTCTGTTCCAGCCCTTCCTTGCTTCACAGATGGCTGCCCTCTGGCTGCCTCCTCACGCGGCAGTCCCTCCTGCCAAGCCCAGCACTTCGCATGGCATCCTCCCTGGCCCTGCCACTGGCAGAGGGGCCTTCCCTGCTCTCCTCCTCCACCTGGTTTTCTTTTTTATCAAAGCATTTATTATTGTCATATACTCAACTCTACTGAATTCATTCGTTTAATATCTGTCTCACCTGTTAAGACAGAACCTGAAGTTGCTGCACAGGGACTGTTCATCGCTGCTGTGTAGATAAGTGATTTAGTAAATGAAACGGTATTTTGTGTTTGATGCTACAAAATGAAAAATCTAACACATCACTGTGATAGTTTTGCTTTGTTTCTTAGATTTTGGGAACCAGTAGGACTTTGACATACATCAAAGAACATTCTGTTGTGGATCCAGTGGAAAAGAAAATGGAACTTTGTTCCACCAATGTAAGCAATGTTCTAAGATGAGAAGGGTGCTTGATATTTCTTGGTGATGGTGTGTAATGTCAAAGTGATCGTTTATTTTTAATAGAAAGGCTGAAATTATTTCGTAATATTTTGTAGTATAGTAGTATCTATACTACAAAGTATCTATACTACAAAGTATAGTAGTATCTTTTTATTCCAGTATAATAAATGTGTAGAAAAATGCACGTAATGATAAATTGCCACAAAGCGAACACACCTATGTAACTGGCAGACAGATCAGGAGACAGAATGCAACCAGCCCCCAGGAGTCCCCCTTGTGCTCCTTTCCAGTATCTGCCTCCCTCCAAAATAACTGCTATTCTGACTTCCAACAGCAGAGATGAGTTTTTTTCATGGCTTTATTGAAATATAATAGACAATTCGTTGCTCATATTTACACTGTACAATTCAATTAATTTTTTTTCAATTACAGTTGACATACAATAATAATTTTAGTTGTACAGCATAGTGATTAGAGATCTATATAACCCCTCTGTGTAAATTCACAGGTGGCCTGGCAGGTGTCCCCCATTAGCCATTTCTGACAACTTACATGTTCTGTTCTCTCTCCTCTACTTGGAAAATTCCACTTCATCCTTCAAGAAAGCTTAGTTGCCAGTGAAGAGGGATGGTTCATGCTATAGTGAGGTCTAGTTGAAAGGAAATGTTTGGAGTAGGACAGATGTGAACCTATATCCTGAAATTATCACTGAATGGTTGTATGACTGCATATGCTACTTATTAACCTTTTCTGAGTCTCATATTCTTTGTCTAAAAAAAAAAAAGAAATCTCATAATATTGGTATGAGGATTTATGAAGGAAAATAAGGTTTATAAAATACAATGCCTATCATAAAAATATTGCACATAAAATAATAATAGCTAATCGGAGTTTAATTGTTAATGTTGTTAAATATTTTCATACACTGTAATAATTGTAACCAATGAGACTTTTGATTTCTCTGGGCTCAATAGAAGGAAAGAGATTTCCTGGATAACCGCTTTGCTGGAATCATGAGCTCCATTGGCCAATGTGGCAGCCACATGGTCTGTGTGCATTCAGGGCTCTATCATGTGAAACTCCAGGGCAGGTTGTCCCAGAGCTGGGGTCTGCCCCAGTGGGTCAGAAGCTTCTTGTTCATTTACCTGCATACTAGCCCAGGAATGTTTTGTCCTTTATTGCTGAGGATTTGGCAGTTTGAGAGAACAGGTTTCCCCCACTATCTGAAACTAGACTATTCCTATGAAACCTTTCGTAAACTAAAATGGTGTAAAGCAAAGCAGTAATCGCCTTAGGACACATCTTACTAATGGCTGCACAAAATAAATGGAGATAAAGCGTAGATACTCACAGACACAGTTTTCAGCTGTGGCGGCTTGTTGCTGAGGTGCTGAGTATGGCACCCAGGAAAAATGCTTGGTAGGGCCACTCTGGCTGCTCGGGGGGCTCACCACCTCCATAATGACTTGCTGCAAAACAAACACCGAACGCTATTTTCACTTTTTTTTTTATAAATGCGAAGATCCTCTTCAGATTTCTTTCAGCTAGTGAAAATGGGAACTGATGTAGATCTTTCCTAAAAGCATATGAGAACTTTCAAAAAGTGAGAGATACCTGCCGTTTGAAGGCCAGGCCCAGCTCAGGTTTGGGTGGGTTATGGAGAGAGAGCAGGCGATAGTTGTCAGGTACCACAGCCAGGATGCAGTTTTCCGGGGCCTTAATGTGGTGGTGCCTGCTGGGCCTTAATGTTTCTTCTGTTCTGGCTCCAGTAAGTGCTGATTTGGGGATGGAAGAGTATAGGAAGATGGTTTGGGAAGAAATGCAAGAGAAATAGAACCTAAAGCCATTGTTTCTTTTTTTTTAAGATCACACTTACAAATTTGGTGTCGGTGAATGAGAGGTTGGTGTACACAACACATCCAGAGAACCCTGAAATGTACGTCATCTCATCCTGGCATTGACACAGTGAACCCTGGGGTCAGGGCTGGGTGGGGCCTCCCCTCTCCCAGGGCTGTTCAGCCGTCTGCTTCTTGTTCTTTTGTAGGACTGTGCTCACACAAGAAGCCATCATCACCGTGAAGGGGATCAGCCTTGGCAGCTATCTAGAAAGTTTAATGGCTAACACGATATCATCCAATGCAAAGAAGGTATGGATCTCCATCTAGGCCCTGCATGTGCTCTAGCTGTTCAGTGCAGAAGAAGGGGGTGAAATGTGTAATCCCCTAAATCCTATGAGTGCTGGGCCCTCTGGTTGAGCTCATAATGCCACAGCATGTTTCACTGTTACATCTAAAACCAGAGGCAAGGGAGACTGATCCATATAAAGAGAAAATGCTGGGTAAACCCAGCAGTTTGAACCTACCACTTCAAAGAACAGAAATATCATAGGCTCAGTTACTAAAACAAATACTGCACATCAAAAAGATGTGTGTTTACAATGTCAGGCAGGATATTTGGGATTTTGAGTCTTTCCATATTTAACAGGCATTCTGTGGCTTTGGGAACCTCTCCATTTGCAAAGGTTCCCTGGAGTCTGCTGCCACCTTGCATCTCCCCTCCGGCAGGATTGGGGCGTGAGCTTGGTGTAGGCGAGAGGAAAAAGGATGGACCTAGGAGGCTGTCCTCCCTGGGACTCCTGGGTGGAGGGCTCGGTCGTAGTGAGGCAGAGACTGCTCACGGGGTCCAGGTTGCCCTCCTCTCCAGCAGAGTTGATGGAGAGAGCTTGGATGTGTGGAAGTTCAAGATAATGCCGCTCACCTGAGCAGAGCCTTGGCTTTTTACCTTAGCTTACCTCACAAGCTAACATCTTCCCCTGGCTGTTCTCCCTTTGCCACCACCCCTGACTCTTCCCTCTCTCCTTTCTATCCTGGGGATTTTTTTTTTTTTTTTTGTCAGAGTGATTCTTCATTTCATCATTTATGAGATCTTTTAGATGCTCTCTAAGCTGTACTTCCCTTACTACCTTGCTTAAGTCACAACTTAGTGGAAAACCACTAATGGCTGGCGTTTAGTCTAGTCACTAATAGATTGACCAATCTACCCTTTTTTTTTTTTTTTAAGAAAAATTTAGACTTGAGAAACACATGCAGTAGCTTGGCTTTGTTCCAGGAAGGCAGGGGAACCGCAGCGCCCAAAGCTGCACACATCTTGTCCCCACTGTGAGCCCCCCCTGAGAGGAGACAGAACCTTACTGACCCTTGTGTGTCCAAGGTCTGGCTTTGGGCAGGCCCCTAAATGTTTGTGGAAAAAAAAAATTAGAGGAGGAACTGAATATTGGGTGAAGCCAACACCGCATCAGACTTTTTATGAGAAAAGTCAGGGTAAACTCAGTGCAGCCAAATAAAATTCTTTTATTCACTTATTGGAGGGGTTGCTGTGTTGAAGGCCTGATAGAGAATTTCTGCTTCATTGTAGCTAGAGTTACCATTTGACAGTATCCCTAGTCAGTTGGGGAAGTGCTTGGAACAGCTGGCGACCTGAATGGGGCAGAGGAGATGGAGATGGAGGTGGAGAAGCAGGTCATCTGGGGATTCAGGGGCCAGAGCTTAGGGACGACACATAGAGGAGGCTGTGAAAAGTGGCTGCTGCTTCCCCTTGTCCTGCACTCAGGAGGTGACAGTGCGGATGAGGGGTGCAAGTGTCAGCATAGCCCAAGCTATTGGGAGAATTTTAGGCAGAATAACGTAGTACCTTATTTCTGGGCTTGAGAAACTGCCTGTTTACACGGAAAAGTTGCTCACAAATGGTTACTGCTGTGTCTTCTGTAAAACTAAAGCACTTTCCTTCTGCCTTTAAATGACAGGCTTGTAGCTGCCATCTGTAGTGAGTGGCGGATTTCTTACACCATGTTGAAATCTTTCTGTGTTGCTCCAGGGGTGGGCTGCTATTGAGTGGATAATTGAAAATTCGGAAAGCGCTGTGAGCTAACGGGTTCCACATCTGCACCTTGTGATAAACAATGGTAACTACAGTATTCTTTAACCTGGTAGAGAAGTTAGCGACTTGCTAACCATGTGCATGATGTGCGGTGCTGGAGGGTGTTACAAGATGGAGATGCATGCACGTACGTCTCTAGCCCTGTGCTCCACAGCATCTAGCATCTTGGTAGTGAGAAAAAGCTACGCGGTTCATCTTCTTCCTAATTCATCTCCTTGTTTCATGGCAGGATTTATTTTCAAGGGAAACCTGAACACTTGTTATACTGTCTTTAATGAAGCACTTGGTTACATTTCCTACAACTTGTGCTTGATAAAGAGGCTTTCATCAGTAGAGCCAGACAGTGTTAAAGAGCTAATGGGAGGATTTTTTTCGTTTGCAGTAGGATTTGAATATTTGCCATGTGCTTTTAAAGACCACTCTGTGCCCTTGCACCAGCACTGTACTGGGGAGAAGGTCAGTACATCTCACTCACTGTGAGCCAGTGTCCAGCCATGCGGCTGCCACTGGCCATTTCCTTTTAGTGGCAAAAGCCATTTTCAGTATTTCCTTGAGCTTCACAAACATCCCTTGGTTTCTTAGGCAAGCAGTGACTGGACTGTCAGAACTGATTTGACACTTAATTGGTCAGCAGTCATCCTCATATCTCAGAAGAGAGTCAAGAGTTTCCTGCTGCCGTCTGTTTGGGGAAACCCTTACACTCCTGCCTTGAAACTCCTCATCCTGTTGACTTGCTGTTGCTGTGCTGCACTGGGCCCTGCTTCCCAGTCGGTTTGTCTGTCTGCCTGCCTGCCTGCAGCATCTGTGTACACATTTGTGCCTCAGTCAACAAAGGAGAGCCGTGTGGTTCAGGTTTCTTTAAGAGCTTCTTACTAATTTTGCTTAAGTCACTGAAGCCTAGGTTTGCCAGACACCGTCATCTTGAACTCAAGGTCATGGTCTATTGCTGGGTCTCTTTTCTTCCATGGATGCACTACTAAGGTGACCACATGTAGACAGCCTGCCTGCTGGGTGAACATGGTTTGTGTGGGGATTGTGGTATATGTGATAGTGTCACTTTGAGATGTGGACTCTGTCCCATTCTATTTCCTCATACACTAGAGCTAAATTGCCTCAATCTTTAATCAGATGCCTCACCCAAAAAATCAAAGAAGAAGGAAAGAGAGAAAGGAAGGAAGAAAGAAGCGAGTCCTGAATACGTTCACTGGCCCAGTCTGGGAGAGATGTGGAATCTGCTGGGATCTGCCACCAGCCTGCTCACAGCCTCCACCAGCCTCCTCTGTGGTGACCTCACAGGATCAAAGGCCAGGCCAAGGTGCAGGCAGAGTTCTAGTCCACTACAGAGTGAGACCCAGAGGAAGAAGACCTCTAACAGGAGTATGAGGGCCATGACCTGCCACTCCGCTGTCACAACTGCTGAGCCAGGGTCTGGGATGCTGGCTATGCCCACAGCACCGCCACCTGCATGCCAGCATTTAGTCAGTTGTTCTTGTGCCTTTGTCTATTTTCTCCTTAGCAACAGCTTTCAGCTCTTTCTGGCCAACTCTTGGGATCTTACTAAATATCTTTTTTCAGATTATTCCCCATTTCCCTCCCATGTCCCTTAATTGACAGTCTTCACCGCCACTGTCTTCACCCATCTGGCTACCATCTGTCACTTCAGATGTCGTTGCCATGCACCCTCTTCTCCCCCTCATCGCTGCGCAGATCTGCACATGCTAGAGTAAGGGCACCCACCCCCGGCGGTGACGCGTGTGGTTGACAGTACCGTGAGATCTCCGTCCTTGGCCTGCAACTAGTTTGTCCTGTCCTCCTGGGACCAGTGACCCCAAGTCCTGAAGGCCCATGTCATTTCTCGCTATTCAGACCTGTTCACAGGGAGAGCCACTGTTATGAGGTCACAGCAGTAGTGCTTATGATTTTAAGGACTCCGCTGTCCTGTTAGCTTCAAGGCACTTGTAATTGAGAGTTTTAATTTTCCCATTTTCAAAAGTAAAATGTAAAATCTCTTTCAGTATGTTTCAAGTTATAAATACTGTAGAGAAGGTCTTTTCTGTAAAGGATGGGTAGAACTATGTTTCACTGTTTTTTTAGACAATGCTTTTTATTTGATAATAGTACTTCCAATCCAAAATGAAATTACATTCATTTTTATTTTTATCAACCTATTTTATGCACATAGCTTAAGGTAAAATAGAGTTAAAAGATTTATGGAAAAAACTATTTCTCTTACACCTTCTACAAAGCAAGGTTTGACCCTTTGAAAGGATTCTCAACTCTTTTGGCAGTTTCTGCCATTTACTTATAGATTCCTAAATAAATAAGTGAATTCTGCTAGTTCTTGAGTCAACGATTTTAGACACTATCTGTTGACTTCCCGTTGTGGTAGATTATCATTTTTTCTCTCTTACATCTCCCTTTCTCATCTTCCCCAAAATAGCTATATCATAATTTATGGTTAAAAGCACAGAGTTTCCATACTTTTGAAAATACATTACTTTTATTACCAAGCCAAACAGTATGCCATAATTACATTTTCTTTCTTATATAACTGTTTTCCCTTGAAGATAATACTTTTCATCTATTTAATTTTATTTTTTAAAAGTCCCTGGCTGAGTCCTTCCACACTCTTTACCCACTCTCTGTAGTACCCTGCAATATTTTCAAACTTCTTAGGTAGTACACACCTTTCCAGTTTCCCTGGCGACATCCTTCCTGGAAGCCCAGTCTTACTCTCCCCTGACCAAGCAGCTGTGTGGTTGTCATCATTCCTGGGCATTTTCTCAACCTGTCTCCTTTCCTGGAGCCCTTGTCTCCTGGATTCCCTGCCTTCCTTTCTCTCCTTCCTACCACTAACTGGGGAAGGACATCTCGTAGTAGCTTCTAAGACTTGGCACATCTGAAAATGCCTCTTCTGTTCTCATACTTCATTCATAGCTTGGCTGGACATATAATTCTAGATAAAAAATACCTTCCATTAGAATTTCAAAGGCATTGCTCCATTGTTTTCCACTTTGATTCTTCATCCTCCGTTTGTGGCTTCCCCCAACCCCCGCCCCATCTCTAAAAGCTTTTAGGATCTCTTTATCCTGATGTTGTGAAATTTCATATGAGTAAGCCTTGTTTGAAAGGGTCTTTTAAAATTCACTGTGTTGTATGTGTTTAATTCCTGGTTTTGATATTGTACTATAATTATGTAAGATGTTATTGGGAGGAAGTGGGTGGAGGATACATAGGGTGCTCCTGTACCATCTCTGCAGCTCCCTGTGACTCTATAATAATTTCAAAATTAAAGTTCAAAAAATATATAAGTAGCGATATCATGGAAAATAGCAAAGGTGGGCACTCTAAGATCAGTCCCTCCAATGAAACAATCAGTAAGCTGGCAAAAAAAATGACAGAATCAACTTTTGTAGAATTCTGGATTCTAATCAAATACTTACACCAACCTGGGAAGTGGTTAATGAATTTTAATTAACCGACCCTATAGGTTCGGGATTTGCCAACCTCCATAATCACGTGAGCCAACTCCTTAAAATAAATCTACATACACTCTCTCTCTCTCTCTCTCTCTCTCTCTCTCTCTCCTCATTCTGTTTCTTTAAAGAAACCTAATACACTATTGAAGCTAAGTTGGTAGCAATCCAAACTAGATTTTTATACATCTAAGATGTTAATTATAATCACTAGGGTAACCAGTAAGAAAATAACTAAAAAGATACATAGAAAAGGAAACAAAGGAAATCAAACTGGTATACTAGAAAAAAAAAAATCAAACACAACATAACGCAGTGTGAAAAGAATTCAAGAACAAGAAGATATGAAATTTGTAGAAAACAAAGAGCAAAATGTAAGAAGTTAGTGCTGCTTTAGCAGTAATTTAAAAGTAAATGGATTAAATTCACCAATTAAAAGACAGAAGTTGGCAGAATGGATAAAAAAACATGATCTTACTATATATGCTGCCTATTAAAGACTCACTTTAGATCCAAAGACACAAACAGGTTGAACATGAAAGGAGGGAAAAAGATATTCCATGCAAATAGTAACCAGAAGAGAAATGGGTAGTCATACTAATATCAGGGAGAAAAATAGACTTTAAATCAATAATTGTGACAAGAGACAAAGAAGGCCATATTGATAAGAAGGTTAAATCATCAAGAAGATAATATACACTCCAAACTATATAACCCAATAAGATATGAAGTAAATATTAGCAGAACTGAAGGGAGAAATAGATAAAACTACAATAGTTGGAGACTTCAGTAATCTTCTTTCAATAATGAATAGAACATCTAGACAGAAGATAAATAAGGAAATGGAGGACTTAACACTAAACCAACTTCATCTAACAGACATCTAACAGACATATATAGAACAGTTCACCCAATAACAGCAGAATACATATTTTTCTTAAGAACACATGAAATGGCATAGACCATTTGTTAGGCCAAAAACAAATCTCAAGTTCAAGAAGATTGAAATCATACAGAGTATCTTTTGCGAACACAATGAAATGAAATTAGAATTCAGTAGCATAAGGAAAACTGGAAAATTGACAAATATGTGAAATTTTAAAAACATCTAATAATAACCAATGAATCGAAGAAAAAATTACAAGTGAAATTATAAAATATTTTGAGACGAATAAAAATGAAAACACATGAATATGTTTGGGATGCAGTGAGAACAGTGCCTAGAGGAAAATTCATAGTTACGAACATCTACATTAAAAAAGAGGAAAGATCTCAATCATTAACCTGACTTTAAGAACCTTGAAAATGAAGAAAAAACTAACTCCATAGCTATGCAGAAGGGGAGAATGATAAAGTTAGAGAGGAGATAAAACAGAGAATAGAAAACAATAGAATTATTGAAACCAAAATTTGGTTCATTGAAAAGATCAGCAAAATTGACAAACCATTATTTTAGTTAGACTGACCGAGAAAAAAGAGGATTCAAAGTAAAAAAAAAAAAAAAAAAACACGTGAAAGTGGAGGCATTTCTATAGACCTTTCAGAAATAAATGGATATAAGAGAATACTCTGAACAATTATACACCAACAAATTAGAAAACGTATATGAGATGGGCAAATTCCTAGAAACATACAAATTAACGAAACTGATTCAAGAAGAAATAGAAAATCTCAACAGATCTATAACAAGTAAATAGACTTAACCAGTAACTAAAAATCTCCTAACAAAGTCCAAATCTTAATTAGAATTAATACCAACCTTTGACTTTTCCAAAAGTAGTGGAGGGAATACGTCCTAATTCTGTGGAACCAGTATTACCCTGATACCAAAATCAGACAAAGACACCCCAGAAAATAAAACTATAGACCAATATCTCTTGTGAATATTGATGTAAAAATCCTCAACAAATTACTTCCAAGCTGAATCTAATTAAAAGATATATAACATGACCAAGTGAGATTAATCCTAGGAATGCAAGGATGCTTCAACATACAAAAATCAATGTTGTATGCCTTAGAAATAGAACTAAGGGGAAAAACCCATATGATCATCTCAACTGATACAGAAAAAGCACTTAACAAAACTTATTACCTTTCATGATAGGGAAAAAAACACTATTCTGGGAATAGAAATAGAAATTCTAGAAATATTTTAGGAATAGGAATAGAAGGGAACTGCTTCCACATGATAAAGGCCTTTTTGAAAATCCCACAGCTAACATCCTACTCAAATGGTGAAAGACTGAAATCTTTCTTCATAAAATCAAGAACAAAACAAAGATGCCCACTTTCAACACTGCTATCCAACATTATACTAGAAGTTCTAGCCTGCGCAATTAAACAAGAAAAAGAAATATTAGGCATCCAAACTGGAAAGAAAGAAGTAAAACTATATTTACCCACAGATGACATGATCCTATATATAGAAAATCCTAAAGAATCCACAAAAAGCTAATAAAGGAATTTAGCAAAATTGTAGGGTGTAAGACCAACACATAAAAATCAGTTGTGTTTTTTTTTACACTAGCCATGAATAATTTATAAAGAAAATTAAGAAAACTATGCAGTTTACAATTGCATCCAAAAGAATAAAATATATAAAAATAAATTAAAACAAGAAAGTGAAATACTTGTATACAGAAAACTACAAAACATTGCTGAACAAAATAAGACATAAATAAATGGAAAGAAATCCTTGTTTATGGATTGGAAGACTTAATAGTGTTCAGATGGCAATATTACCTAAAACATTCTACATGCAATCTCTATTAAAATTCCTACAGCTCCCCATCCTCACCCTCACAAAATAGAAAAGCCAATCCTCAAATCTATATGGAATATTAAGGGTCCCTGAATAGCCCAAACAATACTGAAATAGAAGAACACAGTTGGAGAGCTCTTCAATTTCCCATTTCAAAATTTCTTAGAAAGCTTTGAATGAAAGCAATGTAAGCCTGGTGTAAAATAGACATATAGATCAATGGATTCAAATTGAGAGTTCAGAAATAAACCCATTTATCTATGGTTCATTGATATTCAACAAGGGTGCCAAAACAATTAAATGAGGAAAGAATAGTGTCTTCAACAAATGGTGCTGGGACAACTGGATATCTGCATATAAGAGAATGAAGTTGGACTGTTATCTCACACCATATACAAAAACTAATTCAAAATGGATAATGACCTAAATATAAGAACAAAAACTATGAAACTCTTAGAAGAAAACATAGGTGTAAATATCACGGTCACATGTTTGGCAGTGGATTCTTAGATATGACAATAAAAGCATGAAGAACAAAAGAAAAAATAGATAATTCGACTTTATAAAACTTAAAAACTTTTGTACATCAAGGGACACTATCAAGAAAGTGAAAAGAAACTATAGAATGGGAGAAAAACATTGCAAATCATTTATTTGTTAAAGGGTCTACTAATCAGAATATATAAACTCTTACAAGTCAACAACGAAGAGAGAATCCGATATAAAAATGGCTAAAGAATCCGAAAAGACATTTTTCCAAAGAAGATATGGAAAATAACAAGCATTGGCAAAGATATGGAGAAACTGGAAACTTTGTTCATGCTAGTGGTAATGGAAAACGTTATATATTCAAAACTATTGAAAACAAGTACTTGTACAGGAATGTTCATGGGAGCATTCAGAGCCAAAAGGTGGAAATGACCCAAATATCCTTCAACTGATAAATGGCAAAATGGCAAAATCATACACTGGAATATTTTTCAGCCATAAACATGAATGAAGTACTGATACATGCTGCAACATGGATGAATCTTTAAAACATTACACTAAGTAAAAGAAGCCATGTACAGAAGGCTATGTAATGTATGACTCCATTTACATGCAATATCTATAATGGGTAAATTTATATAGACAGAAAGCAGAGTGGTGTTTGCCACAGGGTAGGGGGAGGGACAGATGGGGAGACTCTGTTTAACAGGTTTGGGGGTTCCTTTTGTCATGATGGAACTGTTTTGGAACTAGATAGAAGTGGCAGCTGCACAATGTTGTGAATGTACTCAATACTACTGTTGTATACTTTAAAACAGTTAAATTATATGAATTTCACCTCAGTAAAAAAGAAGATACATAGTTTTAAACAAATACACATACATACATACTTACATATGTACATACATACATACAGCCGAGATCAGGTCGACCAGACATAAAACACATCATAGTGCTGGGAATTTGGTCATCCCTTGGTTCTGGTAATGACTTCTTTGATAACTTCTCCACTCTTTTTTCTCTTCTCTTTTTCTGGAAGTCTTCTTAATAATATGTTAAGCTTCCTGGTAATTTTATAATTACAAATTAGAAAATTTGTGATTTTCTAATACTTTCCTTTTCTACCAAGAGGTTTCCTGGACTTTATCTTCTAACTCTTTCACTAATTTTCATTTTGGTTGATTATAACATCCTGTTCTTGCTTCACAAGATGGAGTGTCCTCCCTCCTCTGCAGAAATATACGTGAAGAAGCTTTCTTCTGTGCCTCCATGTCCCTGGCATCTCACCACCCTGGAAGCTCTCCTCAGATGTCTGTTCACGCTGACAGCCATAATGAAATGAGTCCCAGGGAGAGCAAGGCTCGATGAACGCCGGGCTTCACTCTAAGCTGTCACTGCAGGGTGTCCTGTGGCTTTTTCCTTGACTCCCAGTAACCTTTTGTCTAGAGTGGTTTAGTTTCTCCTGACAAGACTCCTCAGCCTCTTGGGATGTACGTGTGGGGACCCAGGGGTCTTAGGGCCTGGGCTGTGAAAACATCCCCTTCAGCCTATCCCTTGCCCTCGCTCTGGACACTTCCCAG